ACTCTGACATGCGCATCAGCATGAGGGACTCCGTATTCGGCACTTCATATAGAGCATACTGCACTTTCTCAAGGAATGTATCATATTCTCCTTCCAAATTAGGTGCATAGACCTGTGCCAAGGTCAACGCTTTAGCCTGCTGTAGCTTCAGTCAGAGGATTACTTTGCTGCTCTTTCACCGACAGGCTTCGAATCAATAAGTCTATCCGCGAGTTTGGATTTTACCACAATACCAATACCGGCCTGAGCGCGAGTCGTGATATCGATGCCTGAATAGAATAGCTTCCATCCACTGAGGTTCAAGATTCCAGAGCCTTGGCGCTTCGTTGACGAGAATGCAGCAATGTTGACTTAGTACCTTACAGGCTGGTCACCTAATTCCTGCTATTTCCCTCTGGGTGAGGACTATTTCAATTTTCGACTCTAAGCTCCCAGTGACGATGTCCTTCTCGTGGAAAAGCTTTCTGACGTGCTGTAATGGCATCGCGCTTTCTGCCTCCTCCGTTTAGAAATGGTAGCGAGTGCGTTGCTGGTTGGTATCTTCGTCATCGTTCTGTCGATTTTCGGCAGCCACTGTCGTCATGCTACGCCAGGAGCTGCCAGAAGGCAATGAGCAGGTGCTAACTGCCGATTTTTCGCAACCTGACTATACATGAGTATCTTTAATGTGGGTACTTTAGGCATGACCATCTTCGAGGCAGTTCGTTCTTATAATCCAATGTTGCATATATCATACAGCTTGCCATAATTCGCTGATGCCGGTTCCAGGTAACGGTTCACTTCAGGATCAATGTAACCATCATTAGCCAACATCGTTCTGTGGTACCTAAAGTAGTCCACCTCGTCCAGCTTAATACCATCTCACACTATCCTCGGGTTGACGGTCACCGGAAGCTCTTCGTCTTCGTCTAACCTTCACTTGTACAACAATACCGGTATAAAATTCCTTCCAAATTCACAAAAAAGCTTTATGCATCATCAACAGTGGGAAAATTAGCTAGAAATCAGTTACATGAAACGAACGACGATGTAACAAAACTATGTAAGAAACACTGCAATTACACCATCCACTTTAGTCCATCCTGAAATTCGCACAACATATACACTGATTTCTGATATCTCACACCTGACTGAAACAAAGCACACGTCTAATCTATTAACTAGTACTGTCACTGAAATATACATATTAACGTCGTAACACGTCAAGTGGTACGGTGACCTGACGGCGTTCAGTAAAAACTTTCGAACGATTCGAACGAAAGTCACATGGCTATATGGTAAATAATAACATCGTAAAGTCAATAAAAATCAAAGTTTACATAGTGTATTCGTTACCTAAGCTGCAGGCAGCTAACAGTCAAAACTGATTTTAAGTAATTTTCGATACAAGCTTACTTTGTCTCCAATCCTAATTGTATTTTCCACAATTTAAACTAGCGACTATCAGCTGGATAGTCGTACTGTTTTCTCTATGAAAGTTACATTCGTTTGTCAGTCCGCAATTTACAAATACTTTTTGTACCTTTAGTTTTAAACCAGTTATCTAGCAGCTGATTTCGTCGGACCTGAAAGTGCTGTAACTTTACTGCGTGATATTCTTTAATCCCGTGAATCTGCTTTTTATTACAGAAAAAAATATGCACACAGATAAAATAACAAGCAAATGGCCGCAACATCATAACCATGGACGAAACTGTTCTGGCCTTTCTAATAGACGACAGTTTCACATACACTCAGATGAATGACTCGCCTTTCATATTCAAATTTTTGCACTAGCATGCCGTAATCAGCAGCTCTAACTGAACTTTGGACGAGCTAATGCATTTCGAACTTTGGAGGCAGTTAACGAAATTTCCTCAGTCACGCATTGTTCTGGCATTGCGAATGCTAAAGGCCCAATCATTCTATTACAAAACGCTGCCATTCTTGGAAGTTAACCCAGAATATTCGATTATCTTATCATTTTCTGCATATTTATTAATGAGTATTGTATTCTCGTTAGTGCCTGAGCATATTATCCTTCGATTCAATTCACCGACACCGTATTGTTTTTTTGCGCACCATAGGTTTTAAACGCCACGAAACTTTGGCATGCTTAAATGGCTTTTATTGGCTATTAGAAGCAATAGGAGGTGCACTGTTGCGGTACAGCCTAGAGTAATGGCTTCCATCTGTCTTACATCACAGCAGTAATATTACTTCACAGAATTCACCTTGCTGATCCCTTGTCAGAGTTTAAATGATGATCCTATGAGTTTAATTCTTCACATTTTTACTACAAAGTGAATATATACTTACCAGTATTCCTGTGTATAAAAGAATTCTGAAAAGTCGTGGTTTCTCACTGGTTTGCTATTCATGGCTCTGAAAAGATTGAACAGCATAGTTGTCGAGATTGATAATTTGACATTTTCCAGACTCTGTTGTAGGCTGTTTGTATTCACTATAAATTATGCAATGTCTGGTCGTTCAGGGATTACTTTAACGATGAGGTTCTTGGATATATGTATGTGAACCGCATATACATACGCAAGTGCGATATCTGAAGTGCAGAATGCAGACTCCTTCATACTCATGGGCGATTTTAATGAACATGTAGGAGTATGCGCTGCAAAGTGGAACTGCGTGATAGGTAAAAGCGGCCCTAGCGACCACAACAACAACGGCATGAAGTTGTTGTGGTTATGTGCCAACAACGGATTGTCCATTATGAACACCTTCTTCCAGCATCGAAGAGTACATCAGTACATCTGGTACCGTGAAGCTTGTGCACAAAAGTCGATGATCGATTTGATAATCGTATCGTCTGACTTAAGACCCTCAGCAATGGATGTTCACATTAGGAGAGGCACAACTATCAACCGATCACTAACTTGTTGTTGGCATGCTG